ATTTCTTCAGTTGACCACTTTTTGATAACTCTTATGGCAACCGAGATATGCTGCTCTGAATTATCGGTGGTTCAATGTTACAGTTTCTCTCTGCGCCTTTGAGAAACTCTGTGCATTTTCAAATTAAATGACTCATTTCCAGGCAATTATGACAAGCGCCAGCGATTTATTTGGTGGTCTCAGCAGTGATGACGATAGTTTTTTGGTGGAAGGGAAGGACGAGGAGAAGGTGGAGCCAGTGAAGACAGCAGCTCAGGCGCTGCTCATGGATTTTGATTTGAGGTAAATGAGTGGGGTAATGGCCTTTGAAAGGGTGTATAAACTGGGACAAACTAGGCGTGATGGGTCCCGTTACGCGGGTCAAAATACCTCTAAGGGGAAAATACTCAATCGCTATGGGGGTGATCAACTGCTATATTTAGCTCTTCAGCTATCGATCGACTGCTTTAACCATAGCGGTTGAGAAAATAGCAATATCAGTTGATCCATAGCAGAAGAGCCGAATATGGCAGTTGACACACTAGCATAGCAGTTGATCACCCCCATAGCAGATGAGAAATAGCAGTTGAGTATCTACCAACAATGGTTCTGGGGGTTATTCGGTACATTTGAATCGAACTGTTTGTCAATTTCCCCTTCATTCTCAGCTCCGACGACGATGACGATGAAGCTCCACAGAGCCAAAAATCAACGAGCAGCAGTCCCCCCTTGGACAAGAAGGACCTGAAACCGATGACAACGACTCAGACTTTGATGATGGATTTTGAGATGAGGTAGGCATTCGGCAAAGACGCAGACGACGAGGCTTCTCTGCGTCTCTCCAAAAAGTCAGGTTTCCAGGGCAATTTTGAAGCGAGCTAGGTCGTTTTGAAGTTTGAAGGCGAGAGACGCAGACGACAGACATTCTAGCTTCTCTGCGTCTCTCTCACTCTCTCCTTTTTCTTTAGATGAGAGAGCTAGAGTGTCTGTCATCTCTGCGTTTGTTTCTTGCCTTGATACACAAAGGAGCTAGACTACCTGCCTCTCCTGCGTCTCTCTATCCCTTTCTCTCTTCCCCTTCAGGCGAGAGCGCAGAGAAGCTAGAGTCTCTGGCTTCTCTGCGTCTTTCTCCAATCTTCGAAACGCCCTAACTCGCTTCAAAATCGAGCTAAATAAGTGGTTTTTGGACAGTTTGGAGTGTTTTCAAACTGGCTTCCAGTGAAGTGGAATGCTAGGCCACGTCATTGGAAAAGTTAGGCCACTCCGATTTTGAAAAAAAAACGGGTTTTTCGTAAAATATGGTGCCAAGTCTGCAAACACCACGACGTCAATTTGCAGAAAATTCCAGAAATTTCTCATCGAGCATTTTTTGAAAAAAATAAGAGCTAGACTACCTGTCTCTCCTCCGTCTCTCTCCGTTTTTCTCTTTCCCGTCAGGAGAGAGCGCAGAGAAGCTAGAGTCTCTGGCTTCTCTGCGTCTCTCTCTCTCTCGTGTCGCCAAACTTCGAAACGGCTCAACTCGCTTCAAATTTGAGCAAAATAAGTGATTTTTGGACAGCTTTGAGTGATTTGAACTTGCCTTTCAGAGGGTTACGATTTGAACAAAAGATTTTGTCGTAAAATACAATGCCGAGTCCGCAAACACCGAAAAATTTCAGCTCCGACGACGACGAACCCTCCAGTACCTCTCCAATCGACCAAAAACCCGTGAAATTCTTCCTCCCAAGTGACGAAGACTCCCAGGACATGCCAGACATTGATGAGATCCAAAAACGGATCAAAGATGGCACTCACGTCTTCAAAATGTCTCCAGAATCAATGGAAGATTCTGAGGATCGGAAGTGCGTCGAATTCAAAACCTCTCCACCATCATCCGGATATCCACCACTCAAAAAACCGAAACTGGAGCCGAGAGACGACCGTTACGAGGCGGTTTTCGATGCGGTTCTCGGGAATACAACCGTCGAGCCTCCAGTGGAGCCAAAACCTACAGTAATCCAGAAGAAAAAGTACAATGAGATGAATGAAATGGAGAGAAAAATGATAAAAATTGAGGAGAAAGAGTACGTGACAGAGGAGGAATCACATATGAAACTGCTCGAACAGTACGGACCCTCGAGCAGTCAGGAATCGAAAAAACATCATGATGATATTCATGAGATGAAGAATCAGATTCTGTTGGCCAACATGTCCAAGGAGCAATTCGATCGATATCAGGCTTTTAGAAGGTTAGTTACTTCTTATAGAAGGGCATGTCTTATTTCAGTCCTGTGTGTCTAGATGTCCGGATTTCCTTACAATCTTTTGTGTGTCTATCTGGATGTCCGGATGTCCGGATGTCCTCTTTCTTCCTTGCGTTCTGTCGGAATATCTGTTTGTCTGGGTGTCCGGATGTCATTAGACACTCCTGGGTGTCTGTCTGGGTGTCCGGATGTCCTTACACTCTCCTGGGCGGCTGTCTGAATGTCTGGATATCCAGATGTCCTCTACCTTCAGATTTCTATGTGGCATCCTTATTGCAAGTGTTTCTGTCTGAAAATCTGTTTGTCTGGATGTCGGGTTGTCCGCTTACTCTTCTGTTTGTCTGTCCGAATGCCTGGATGTCCGGATGTCATCTAGCTTGATTTGAGCATACGCCTGGGAACCTGGAAACTCGGTCTCTCCGTCTGTCTGTATGCCTGAGGGTCTAGATGTCCGCACACTCTCATTTGTGTCTGTCTGTCTGTCTGTCCGTCGGCGTGCCCGGATGTTTTTTATTCTCCCTTGGCTTTTGCCCGAATGTCTGGATGTCCGGATTTCCATCACTTCTTTTTTTCGGTCAGGTCTGTCTGTCTGCATGTCCAGATGTCTCATCTACGGAACAGCATGTCTGTTCTCCCGGAATATTTTATCCAAGCGTATATTTGCCTGTCCGGATGTCTGTCTCGATGTCCGGATGTCTGTCGGTTTGTCTGGATTTCTTTCCTGCTGTTATGTTCTGTCTGTCTGTACAATCCGAGGATGTCCGGATGTCTCTCTGCTCGAGTCCACCTTTTTTCTCTCTAGAAGCTCCTCCTTGAGGAACTGATATCGTAGTTTGTCTGTTTGTCTGTCTGTCTGTCTGTCTGTTTGTCTGTCTGTCTGTCAGTTTGTCCGTCTATCTGTCTGCCTATCAGTCTGTCCGTCCATCTGTCTGTCCGTCTGTCTGTCTGCAAGCTCTATCCGGATATCTGTCTGTCCATCCGAATGCCCAGATGTCTAGCCACAAAAAATAGCCTTAACCACCCCCAACCTCTCATTTTTTTGCAGTTCGAGATTCAAAAAATCGGATATCACCCGTCTGATCAAAGAGTACACAAACAACGCGAAAATCCCTGCAACCGTGGTGACGGCGATTGGCGGATTGGCGAAACTTGTCGTCGGAGAGCTCGTCGAAGAGGCCCTCGACCTCCGTGAGGCTGTCGAAGGGGAGGAGCCTACGGGACCACTTCAACCACATCATATTCGACAGGCCTATTTGACACTTTCTCGACAGGGAAAACTTTAATTTTTTTTTCTTGAAATTGCGATGGTTTTTTATTGATTTTTTTTCGTTAAATTTAAGAAAATTGACTTTTTGTGCTGTCATATATTTTTCGGAATCTTCCGAACCGGGTTTTCGTTTTCATGTGATAAATAAACGGCTTCTGTGCAATTTGTCGTAACGGTGTTTGCAGACTCGGCACCATATCTGACTACAATTTCAATATTTTGCGAAATGGGGACAAATTTGACTGTTTTTAGCCGGTTTTGCTCAAAGAATGTTGTTTTTTACAAGAAACACGCCCACTCTGCAATCTAACGTGGCGGTGTCAGGTTACTTGCAGACTGGGCAGCACATTTTACGACAATTTAGATTTTTAGGGAAATGGGGACAAAGTTTACTGTTTTTGTCGTTTTTCGCTCAAAAAATGTTCCTTTCGACAAGATAAACAACAAGTCTGCAATCTGACGTGGCGGTGATTGCAGACTAGGCATCATATTTCACGATAATTCAGTTTTTGAACAAAACTAGGTCTGAATTCGCTACGTTTTGCCAACTTTACCTCAAAAATGCCTAGTCCGCATTCGGACGTGGCGGTGTTTGCAGACCCAGCGCAATATCTTACAACGATTCTGAAAAAGTAGCTAAATTGATTATTTTCAGACATTTTTAGAATGTAAAAACGGTTTTTCTGTATTTCGACGTAATGGGGCCACAGTTTTTGCAGAATTAACAATAAATTTGACGACAAAATCTGATTTTTAGCAAGATGGATGCTAAATCGGCGATTTTTAGCCATTTTTAGCCGAGAATTATCGATATTTTGGTTTTCAAAATATAGGTGGTCTCACCGCGCTCCGGAAAATTGTTACTGTAAGAATTTATGGTTTTTATCAAAATGAGACATTTTGCTCGGAAAAATATCTAGTTTTCCCTCAAAAATTTCTCAACCACTTCTCCCAATTTCCTCTCCTATTTCAAAAACATCCTCCTCTCTCTCCCTTAATTTTCGTCTGTACTTCTCTCTAATTTTGAAACAAGTCGAGCGGTGTGTATGTACAAGAAAGGGGAAGGAAAACCTCAAAAAGAAACACTCACACACGGAGATAAATGGTGCGAGATAAGGCGTGTTTCAGGTTCGGTTGGCATAGATCTGAATCTTTTTTGGAAGGAATCCTCCTATTTTTGAGAATTTCTTCTTTTTCAACGGCGATAATACGGGACGACGCAACATTATGAGATAAATTTTCGTTTTTTTGTTGAAGAATAATTATATAATAATGTTTTATTTTTATAAAATTTATGTGGATCTAGATCTAGGTAATTTTCTCGCTTCGAAGAGATGTTCTTTTTCTCCCGGCAAGTTGCACGGCAGCTTGCCGGGCAACTTGCCCAAATTTCTAGTCATTCTGTACGAGCAATATTTTGTTCCCCCCCCCCCCCCTCCCCCTTCTCTCGAGATAAGAAAGGGGAGAGAAGCCGCAGTAACTTGTACGCCCTCTCCCCTGGCGCTGCTGTTGCCTGCGTGGTGTAGTGGCTAACGCCGTTGTTTTATAATTTCTCGACCCGGGTTCGAATCCTTGTGGGGGCAAAATTTTTTGTTTTTTTTTTCTATAACTTGGATTCGAAGCCTAAAAGTCCCCTAGACCATCTGAACGATTTATAGGCTTATCCCCCATTTTTTTTTACAACGTTTTCATTGTTATACACCTTACTATCCTTTCAAGTTCTTCTCGTTTTTTACCAGCTGCCGGATTTATTAAGATTTGTTCCACCGTTCTTCCCCTTTTTCTTGTGTCTTCTCAAAATAACACCTCATTCTTCTCCTTTCTCTCCTCAAGAATGATTCAACCGGTTGTTTTACACTTGAACCTCTTTTTCCTTCCTCCATAGTAGACCTTTCGATTATACCAGTTATGGAAGGATGGGTGTAGGGGGAAGAGGTTTCCCTAATTTCGGGCTTCTATTGTTTTGTTTCTAGATGTGCTAGGTGTGTCTAATGAGTTTCAGACGGTTTTTGTAAGTTTTCCTCAATCTCTCACGAAAAGATTAAAATTTTGAGTTCCCGCCAATTTCTTGAATTTTAGAATTCCAGCCAAGATTTTGAATTTTTGAGTTCCCACCAAGATTTGTTGAATTTTTGAATTCCCGCCAGATTTCCGAAATTCTGATTCCCCGAAATTTTTTAGAATTATTGATTTCCCGCCAGTTTTTCGAACTTTTAATTTCCCGCCAATACGGTACCAAACGGTTCAGCGGTTCAAAAATTAGGTATTCAGTGATAAGTGCTGGACAGACAGACACACAGACAAACAGACAGAGCCGCTTAGTATATAAAAGAGATGCTCCAAAACTAGAAAAAATCGAAATTTGCACCGAAATTCTGATAGACCCTAATTGAAAATTATACAAAACGATCGGAATTTTTTGATCTACAAATTCAAATTACTCCTGATAAACTCAAATTAACCGTGGGAGGAGGTCCCCAGCAGGGACGAGCGGCAATGCCGTTGCCGCGTTGCCGATTTTTTGCTCGACAACGCTTTCGGCAAAACTTTTCGATTTTTTTTCCATTTTGGTGCAAAATTCAACCAATTTTTGATCAAATTTACATGAAAATTTAATAAATTAGATTATTTGGGGCTAATGAGGTCCAAATCTGATTTGTTTTATGAACAAAAATCATTAAAGACACAAGAATTTTGGAAATTTTGATTTTTACTGGACTTTTGATTCGAAACTCAAAAAGTTCATGCAAGTTTTGTAATGCCGAATGGTGCCGGAAATTGCCGGTTTATGATTTCGGCAATTGCCGGATTGCCGGGTTGCCGAAACATTTTTTCCGAAAAAAAATCTCGGAAAAAAATTTCGGGAAAATTTTTTCCGAGCAAGCCTGGTCCCCAATATCTCCATCCCCATCTCTCCCACCCCACCTGAAACCCCCCGTAAATCTAACACATTGCCATCTAACAGAGAGACCGCCCGTTTCTATCCTCACTTCTTCAAAAGAGGAGGAAGAGGAGGTTCATGTGTTGTGGTTGGTCAAAGTGATGGAACTGTGAAGAGAGGGAGGATGTGAATAGTCTCTCTTTTCATTTTAATCGGGGGAGTATAAGAGGAGGAGGGAAAGACAAGTGTTGCTAACGGAGTATTTGTATTTTTGAATGTGTGGATATTGAAATCACAGAAGATTTTTGATCTCCTTTTCTCTCCGATTCTGTTTTGCATGAGAATGGAAGACAAATCTTTGACTTTTTCTCTGAATGCTGATGAGTGGATAAAACGATTTTTAATGGTTTTTAGAATGCTTAGACCAGGCGGAAGAAGCTTAGGCACAGATTTTGTGATTCTGACATCAGATTTGACGACAATTCAATTTTTTTTCGAATTTTTTAGAATAAGGGATTTTCGAGTTTTCTTCTCGAATTTCGATATAATGCCAAGTCTGCGTGTCTGAAAATCCGCTGATCATTTTTTTCTGTCTGTGTGTCCAGTGTCTGGATGTTTCCTGCCTATCCATCTAAGGTGCTACCCCACATTAGAACTGGTCGCATCAGAACTAACCCGTATTAGAACTGGCCGGATTAGAACCGGGTACTTCCGAAGTATCTGGAAACTCGAAAAATTGAGGGAATGTTTAGGGCCACAATGTCATATTCTGTACGAAAATTCAGCCTCGAGTAGCAACTGGGAGCTTGAATATGGCCCGGTTCTGAT